GAGAGAACCCACACTGCACGGGGAGAACATGGAGACTCCACACAGAAAGATCTCGGGTGTCGCGAACCGGCGACCTTCTAGCTAACCACTGAGCCACCTTGCAGCCCAGCAAAGGATCATGAGCAGGAGTCGAACCCACGACCGCTGCATCCCCTGTTCATGGGTCGCCCGCTCAACCAGGTGAGCCACAGGGACGTCCTTAACTGAACCTTATCCAGAGTGGCAGCAGACCACAGAGCGGTCGTCTGAAGGCTCCGACTAATGAACACAAACTGAAACATCGCCTTTTGTTCATTTGTTTTCAGGCTTTTGAGGAAACTGACTGGATCCCATTTTGATTTCATTAAATGTTGATAATTAACCGAAATCAAACTGTAAAAAAGTGTTGTTAGAAAAACACGACATGGGTTCAACTTTAAGATATCATTTCTATTTCTGAGGTGTGCTCTCACGTTTTAAAAGCTTTTTAAAGAATCCTGACTTCCTGTTTGTGGCGGTGAAACACTGCATGTTTGGTGCTTCTGCAAAATACATGTTCTGACATAATTCAGCTGTAATAACGGTTAAATCTAATCAATATATAACTTAAATCTGCCAAAACATGTTCAAAACATGATATTGTTACTGACTGTCTGTTGACGTCTTTCTCTTTCACTTCTGTGCCGATTTGAATTAAAGCTTTTCAAGGTATTTTATCAGTTTGTCTCCACATGATGCTGCCGTTAGTGAAACAAGTTTTGGTCTCATGCAACATAAAATAATATTTCTGACATCACTGAATCACAGAAATGGCTAAACTCCATCAATCATCTATATTTCAGTCTTAGATGCTCGTAATAGTGCTTAAATTTAGTCAACATATTGTCATTATTTTGTCTTTTCTGTTTAAATTCAAGCTTTTTAAAGTGGTATGTATTCTGACATGATCCCAGCTCCTCTGTTTATCTATCAATCTATAAATAAATAGATTATAGCAGTTTAACCGAGACACCAGTTCATGCTCCTGCAAAATAAATGATCATTTAATCATATAAATAATTACATTAAATCCATATATTCTGTAAATCGGTGTCAAAAGCTGATTAAGGGAACATTTTAAAGCATGCATTTTTATTTTTGTGCACGTGATGTTTAATAAATTTGACTTTTCGTGCAGATTTCAGACCAAACTGCAGCAACATAACAGGACTCCAGACTCAGGTTTTATGATCCCAACATGTGGCTTTTACCCGACAGACACCTTCCCTTCATCCAGATGTGTTGTAATCTGTTGTAATCTGTTGTAATCTGTTGTAATCTTACCTTTGACTCTGCAGGACCTGCAGGGGAAACAGCTGCGAGGCGTCGAACACATCGCTCAGGGCTCTCAGGTGCTCGTCTGTGCAGCAGCTCCGACGGATGCAAATGACTTCTCTTGATGTCAGGATGCTGGTTTCAGTCGCTCCGCTGTCAGAAACCTGCTTTACATTCACGCACTTTTTGCACGTTTCCTCTGACAGGCTGCACCTGTGATGTGAACGTGTGATAAAGCTCCAAAATAGAGAAGGAAGTGTTTAGAATATGTGGCTCTGATAAACCTCACTGTGGCTCAAACGGTACCCTGATGCATCAGTTCAAGGTTCAAGGTTCAAGGTCTTTATTTCTTTATTTATCTCAAACACAGTCGTACATGGAACAACGCACAGTGAAATGTTCAATGTTCAATCAGTTTCGTCACTTTTCCTGCTCAAAACATCCACTTTTTCCCAGGAATACGCTGCGAGGCCTCATCATTTACACTTTCACTTTACAAAAATCGACAAATTAAACAAGTCAAAGAAGGTTTTCACTTCCTCAGAAAACACAGAAGTCTGCAGCCTGCTAACAGCAGCCGGCTCACACAGCTCATGAATGTATAAATAACACGAGCATTTGACGCCTCGAAATGCATCTTATATCTGATGAATCGGTAGTTCTTAAAAAAGACACGAAGCACAACAGTTCAGAGTAAATCATGACAGTGTTATGAAGGATATCTGCAGCTATTATTTAATGACAGATCTTTAGCTGGTCAGAGTTAAGTTAGAAATATGTGCAATAAAAATTCTGATTAGGTTTCATAAAGTTTTTTTTGTTTTTTTTAGAAAATCCATTAAAACTGAGAATCTGGCAGCAAAAGTGACAAAAACAGCGACAAATATCTTTAAAATAATCATATTTTTGCTGATTTAAATACATTGAATCAGTGTTATTTCATATTTACACAATGTAAAAGAACAAATTATTACTTTTTTTTTGACAGTCAACTTGTGAAATAATAGTTTTTCTGCAATTTAAGAAAACTGGAAAAAGAAAGAGTAAAATAACAAAAAAAATTGGAAATATTCTTTTTAACCATTTTTCAGATTTTTTCTTCTTCAAATAATAGCACATATCTGTGAAATAATTATATTCACAAAATTATATCTTTAAAAGAGAGTAATTATGCAGTTAAATTGCCCAAATACTGACTTTTGACCCAGCTTTTTTTAAAAACGGTTAATTAGCAAATTAATTAATTAAAAAAAACAAATCTGCGATATTATCAGATAAATTCTACAATTAACAAATGAAGTAAAATCTGTAAAATGACCATTAATATAATATTAATTAATGTATATTAAAAATACAACATTATTAATATAATTATATATTTTAAAAAGAAAACATATAGTTAAAAGTTGTTAAAAAATAAATAAAAAATTGCCCAAGTACATTCTTCATTTTTTATTTTAAAAAAGTGATATTATCAGATAAATTCTACAATTAAGAAAAGAAGCAAAATCTGTAAAATGACCATGAAATGTTGAAATAATTAGAGGTAAAAATTTCAGTTGTTTTACGTTGCACGGTGCAATTCATCAGAATGATGCAGCAAATATCTGTAAAACAATAAATTAAATACAGCAGAAACAGTTTAACTTCACTGTCCTTAAAGAACAAATGACTGTTTGTAGAAATATAGATTTTCATGTGGACATTATTCACAGTTTTGGCATTTAAACAACAAACAAACACGTAGATGAATCCGTCTTTTATGTGACGAAAACAATCAAATGTGAAATTATTTAAAAAAAAAACTTTTTCCTTTTTACAGTTTAAAGTTCATCATCAGAGAACCGGTTGTCATAGAAACGCAGACAACAATCCATCCATCACATGAACACAGATCATAGATAGATAGAACTTTATAATAGATCACTTCAACCAGCTCAAATGATTTATTTTCCCTCCACTGTCTTCATGCTTCCAGCATTAAAACACATCAGCATCAATCAACTGGACTTTCATTAAATGCAATGAGTAGCTTCTCGTCTCTTTGCTCTCAGAAGAAGAACTTCTTTGGTTCTTTGGTTATTTGGTTATTTGGTTCTTTGGTGTTTTGTCGCTTGTGATGTTTGCACAGAAATGTTTCCATCATGTCACAAGTGTTGGTTCATGAGAACGTTTCTCAAAGCAGCGAGCCAAAACAGATTGTGAAAGTAGGAAACCGTCGGTGGTTTAATTTGCATCAGCGGTGAAAGAACCTGCCGGGTCTAGACGGAGAGGAAGCAGCGAGTGGAGGACGAAAGGCAGCAGGAACAGGAAACAAGGTGTTTACAGTGTTAGTGCTGCTGCTGCAGGTCTGAGATCAGATCAGATCCTCCTCTGCTTGAACAACATCCAAACCACAGCAAAGCCCACCGTTAGCGAGTCAACGAGACAACGAGTCGTATTCTGGTTAAAGGGTCGAGTTTTGATGTTAGACTGTTTTGGAAAAAGTGTTTCTGTTCTTGTTCAGGACGTCTCACTGATGTCAAAGGTGCTACAAAACAACAACAACAACAACAACAACAACAAAAACATGTTTTATAAACTTTTTTTAAAAACTTATTTTTATAATTTTTTTCCCTGCTTTGTTAAATTCAAGTCAACACTTATTAACATCACGGAAAAGAAAGTTTGAATTCACTTGTTTCCTCTGAAGAATGTTCACATCAATCATCAGTATTTTATTTAGTTTGTTATTTTAGTCTGTATTTTGTAAGTTTAAAGATAAAATTCAATTATTTGACTGCGTCTAAATCAGGAAATAATCTTGATATTTGGCAGATATTTGACTTTTTTTTTTTTTAATGAAAAGTTTTTAAGGACTGAAAACTGACAAATAACTGAAGTTTTCAAAACTATTTATTGTTCTTTTACAGATTTTGTGCATCTTATTAAATCACAGATATTATCTCATAAAGTCACAGAAAAAAAAGGATTAATTTACATGTTGACAGCCAAAAAAAAAGACCAAAACAAAACATATTATTCATTTAGTTTTATTTATTTTTCATTATTATTATTATTATTATTATTATTATTATTATTATTATTATTATTATTAAGAATAATAATAACAATATTTTATACACATTTTGCCTGTTTTGTGAAAGTAACCCCCTACAACTGAAAATAAAAATGTTCAAAATTACACAATTTCATTTTTTTAACTGCATCTAAATCAGTAAAAGTATAATATTTTACATTTTGTTTTAATTTGAAAGGCAAAGTAGATAATAAATAGTAAAATCCAACCAAAAAAACTATTAATTGACATGTTAACTCTAAAAAACAACAACAAAACAAAAAAACTGTAAATAATGTCAACAAAACAAATCGTTATTAGTTCTTTATGATGTTGGTTTAATTTGTCAAAATACCCTTAAAACATTACTTTAGAGATATTTGCAGGTAATTTTACAGTGCTACCAGTTTTGATGAGTTGAAGGACTTTCTTAAATTTGAAAACTGATAAATAATGTAATTTTTTTAAAGACAGCACGTCTTCAGGAGGCAGATTATGAGAGTTAAAGGTTTGTTTTTGAGAATCAGCTGTTTTCTAGTAAAGCATCTCGTCTCTTTAACCTCATCCAGAAGAAGAGACTCCTGCTGTCATCACTTCCACTTTGTTTAACCTCAAACTGATAATCCCCTTTTTTTTAGGATGAGGACGAGCTCACAGCCTTGAACTCAGCCTCAGTGAGCAGGTTTTTATTAACTGCTGTGTTTAATTTTCAACCTCCTTCACGTCTCTGGAAAACCCCATCACCTCCCCTCAGACACCAGCAGGTATCAGCCTCCTGCAGCACGTCTCATCTCCTGATGTGTCTCTGCAGTGCCGGCTGTGGGAGGACGACCGAAGCCTGGAGGAGGTTTTATTCATGTTGTTATCGGACTCCATTCATTCTCCCACCGAGCCAAGCATGAAGTCATCCATCCACCAGAGAACTCGGCCTCTTTACGGTAACAAGCTCGTTTCACAACTATTGTTCCAGCAGGTCAAGCTTTCACCCCCCAGATCTGAGATTTCTTCACTGTGTGGCGTCTGAATGGAGTTAAAGTTAAGATGCATCTAAGTGTCTGTGAAGGTTCTCAGTCGTCCAGGTCATGGTTGTTCTGGTAGATTAATCGTAGCAACTGGACGTTGCTGGAGACGTTCCACCTCTCATCCAAGAGGCTTCATCAGGTCTGACTGACGAGTTCCACATACTGATATCCTTAAGGAGCCATTAACACCTGAGTTTGGGTTTCAGTTGGGGGTTTGGTGCTCGTTAAGGTCTTTAGTGGCTCAGTGTGGATGTGGTTTCATCTTCCTGGGGAGAGATCTTAGGACTGAACTCTAAACAGGTGAGAGGTGATGCCTCAGACCTCCACCTCTGTTGAGGGATGGTCTTTCCAGTTGGACACAGATGGCTTCTTTCACTCCTCTCTCAAACCATCTGAAACCCAAACTCAGGTGTTAACGGCTCCTTAAGGATATCACTATGTGGAACTCCCAACTAGTCAGTCAGAGCTGATGAGAGGTGGAACGTCTCCAGCAAGTCCAGTTGCTACGATTAAACTACGAGCAGATGCATGTAAATGAGTCTCTCAAATAAAAGTAAAAAATGATGCAAACCTTCTCTGACAGTCCCTCTATAGTGACTCCATCTGAAATCTGACATTTAAGCCACTTTAGTTGCATTTTTGTACGTTTGTTTTCACTTACTCCTGAAAAAAAAGTCCCAGTTTATCTTTGCCCTATAAATAAAACCTCCAGTCCACTGCTGTTTTCTTTATCTAGCATTGACATAGAATGTTTTTAGAATAGTTTACCTTGTGCTGAATGCTCACATGGTCACGTGGAACATTTTTCTCACCCCTTGAAGCACTTGTTGTCCAATGGCGTTGCGTTTGGTTGTTTTTGTGTTTATCATGTGTTCGTCGTACATGTGCAGGAAGATGAACTTCCTTTGGGACAAGAAAGTTCATCTCATCTCATCGTTTTATGTAAAGTGTGCAAATAAGAAGCAACGCTGCAACTTCTTTTTGCACGTTCTTCTTCACTTATTCCTGAAAAAGTCCTGAATTTTTTCAAGAGAATAAGAAAACTCCAGTCCGCTGCTCTTTTGCTGCTAAAAGGTTCATCATTCTGCAAATCAGTGATATTTTAATACATAATACGTTTGGTTTTTTTCATGCATTTTTGTTTAATTTCATTTTAATCTATTTTTTACGATGACTTCTAACTTTGTGCTCGTTGGTTTTCTGCTGCGACCCCAAACAGCTTCTTGTTTCTGTTTAACAGCAACAATAAAGAACGACTCTATCAGCTCAGTTGAAATATGTGATTTTTTTATTACAAAAATACTTAAAGGAACAAAAGTTTAAACTTTTTGACATCTTTGATGAAAGAGAGTCGCTTCAAATTTTGTTTTATCTGAAGAGGTGCATTTATTTTATGCTGTATTTTACTGTTTTCACATTTTCTTTCCAATAAAACAGCACTTTCATGCTTCTCTTATTATTTTAACTGCTTCATATTTTTTAAAATCTCATATTTCATTCATTATTTTACACCCGTGACCTAAAATTAAAGCAACAATCTGCCCTTTACACCAGCCAAGCAGGGAAATGCTAAAATTCTACTTATATAATACAAAAACATGGTCTAATTGGATGAATATCTGCATTATTTAACAGATATATGTGTGTGCTCATCTATCAACATTAACATGAAAGTTAAATATTTGACAGATTATATTCATAAAACTTGCTGTTTTGTGTTGACAATAAGAAACGTTATATAAGAAATAAAAGATGAAATCGTTTTAAAACAGCTTTATCCACATTTATTCCCTCTTTAGACATTTATAAATGTTCACATTTATGAGAACAGTTGAAATAATCTGAGAGATGAAGCTGAAAGCATCCTGAGTCTGATCACACAAACAAAAAAAACCCTTAATGATTAAATAAAATCACATTCAACGCTGCTTTCACACATCAGCACCTGATTTCATAAAGACAATAAATGAATCACATTTTTACAAAAGATCGATAAAAACATATTTACACAACATTTCATCAGCAGCAGAAGGCGGCTGAGCTCCAGCTTCTTATCAGCTGATGTGAGACTTTATTCCATCAAGAAAACTGGCTTGAATTCTCTCTTTTCATTTATTTTATCTGCTCCGTCTGCGTTGCACAATCTGGTCTCTCCCCCGCGGAAACACAAAAGTTTCCCAGAAAGTAATTCCTCACGAAGCTGAAAGCGTTTAACAAACTGCGTCACATTTTAATTAAAACATTCTAAGTGACAACACATGATCATTTTCCTTTTTTTAAAAATGTTCTTTTCTCTGTTTGTAGTCGAATCATGAGTACAACTGAGTAACTGAATAAAGAAATCATGTATTACTGACTTTTTTTGACCCATTTTTTTAAAGTATTTTTAATATTTTGCATTTAAATGTCTATTTTAAACCCACATATGACTTTTTAAAAAAAACTAAATCCTGTTTAGATTTCTCTGTCCCTGCAGCTCAGGTTCCTCCAGAAGCTAAAATCCGTATTATTCATGATCTCCTGCAGCCAAACCTCCAACAGCCACCTGATAACCTGCTGCAGCCTGAAATGTGAGAACGTTTAACGAACCGGTGGGACCCTGAGAAATCAGAGGAAGAACCTGCAGCTGCACGGTCGAGGCCCGTTAGCTTAGCATTAGCGCTAATGGATCCAAACATGGAGCCAACTGCATTTTTTCTCTTTTGAAGAGAAAGTTTTGCAAAGTTTGGGAAATATTTTGAGTTGTTTTAGTTCCCAAAATGTTCCTCTTAAATGAAGAATGAAGTTCTCTAGAGAAACATTTATCTTTTTTGTTCAATTACAGCAAGAAAGTCTGAATTTAAACGTTGACTGTAAATATAATAATAAAAAATAATGTCCGCATCAAAAATGTGCATTTTTGAAAAAATATTTGACTGTAAAATTACACAGTTTTTACAGTTTTTAAGTCAGAAAAGTGTCACTATTTGACAGATATTTGGTTTTGTTTGAAAGATAAATTATATATATTAACATTTAAGGTAAATCTGGATTTTTTACAAATACTAATTTGTCCTTTTACAACGTGTGATCATAACTTCCAAGTCTTTTACTGCATCAAAAACCACCTGAAATGTTATTTTACAGAATTCAATTTGATATTTTCACAGTTTTCACAGTTTTTAACGTTACATTATTCTGTTGTTTTGGTAGAAAACTTATTTTTGGTGTACTTTTTGTGATTTTTTTAAAGGAGATAATGTGTTTTTCAAACCTGCTGGTGTTTTTTTTTTTTAAACATTTGCAGGGAGTTTTGTGGAAAAACGGTTTACATTATGATCCCTAGAAATCCTCAGAACATCCTCAGAACGTTGCACTTTTGTTAAATATCCCATTTATAAGAACATTCTGACTTCTGAGGAACATTATCTGAAATGAATTCCTTTTTTAAAATAAGATGTTTTCTTGAGAACATTATTAGAACTTTTAGGAAACCAGTTAGCAGGGAGGCTAAATAGCGCTAAAGCTTCCATTCGTCTTGGACTTGACTTTCTGGTGGGAACGTTGCAGCAAACACACCCTTAAAGTTTCCAAACGTACATTTGCATAATGTGATTTTGCTGCAGAGGAGCGACGGCAGCATCACGATGGTTCCACCAGCTCACAAATCAATGGTTTGAGTCTATAAAACAGCTGCTGATGAATCCGTTAGCTGCTCTCGTGAGCGACTGCAGTGGAGAAACTTTGTGCAACCGCGTGACTCACGTTCGAAAGTTTATTGAGCAACGGTGAAGCTTCGTGCTGCAGAGGAGGAACTCACATCAGGCGCTGGGTGAACACCACTCTGGTTCACGGATAAGTTCACTGTTGCGACAGAAAGCATCACCAGACCGATCCTTCAGACTCACGTGTGTCGAGTTTAAACCACCAAGACTCAGAATCGAAACAGTCAGCTTCACAGCAGCGCTTCAGGTGGGAGCGTGGTCAGTTGGAGGACGGCAGGAAGCTGAAGCAGGACGGCACGGTGGACAGACAGTCGGTGTTCACCGTCACCTGCATGTCTCCAAACAACAACCGGCTCTTGTCGCTGCTGTCGACGTTCAGCTCCTTCTTCAGCGCCGCCAGTCTCTGCAGGATCCGCTGGTGTTCTCGGCCTCTCAGCAAACCTCTGAAGTACAGAACAGCCACCAGGTGCTTCCTGCTGCAGGTGGACGACACAGCACGCAAAGAGACTCGGTTATTTTACATCTTGCTTATCCACATGGCAACACTCAGCTGTTCTGGAGGCTGCTGAGGCGTTAGAGCAAGTTGCAAAGTCCAGATAACATGGAAACCACTTGATTACTTTAGAGGGCATCGAGGTTTTCTAGCTCATATATAGACCTATATACAGTTTTGGGGGAATACACCTTTATAACTCGTAAGTCTTTGGGGAAAAAATTGTATGTTGTATTTTTAAAACCATATCGTGCTTCCTAGAAAGTAATATTTTGGGTCATATGAACCTTTAAAACCATAACTTTCTAATTAGAGAGCACTATTTGTATGTAATGAACCTTTAAAGTATAAGTACCTGGACAGAAAGTGGTATTTTGTCCCTTTGAAAACACAACTTGCTCTCTGGAAAATAATATTTTGTATGAAATAAACCTGTAAAATTGCAACTTCTTCATTAAAAAGTACTATTTGGGTGGAATAAGCCTTTAAAACTTCACTTGTTTGGACAAGAAGTAGTATTTTGTACATTTAAAACCATAACTTACTCTCTAGAAAGTAGTATTCTGGGTCATATGAACCTTTAAACCCATAACTTTCTAATCAAAATGCACTATTCTGATAGAATAAACCTTTAAAATTCTGAATAGTAGTTTGAAACTTTAAGTATTTGGGAGAAAAGTAGTATTTTATGTGAAATAAACCTGCAAAACCGCAACTTTTTCATTAAAAAGTACTATTTGGATGGAATAATCCTTTAAAACCACAACAGGGCCGAGGTCCTTTCCCTTGTTTTCGTTGTTTATGCTAAGCTAAGCTACGCTACACTAACCACCTGCAGGTATCATCTACTGGGGGCATCTTGTCATTTGAATTCATCGTCTGTAATCTGAATTCTGTGCAAAACGTCACAACCTTGTTGAACTAAACTATCCAACACATGGACGTTTATTCAGCACAGTTTTATCAGGATGGGCTCAAACTGGTGTCAGCTTTGTTCATTCTTGAGGTTTCTCTGCGCCGGTGGACGTTACCTCGTCACTCATCTGACTCACAGTTTGCTCTGAAGACAAACGTCTCCCGGCAGCAGCACCTGATCCAGCCTGGACCTCAGCTACCTCAGACTGCCCAGAGTTGTGAAACCTCGTCTCACGCAGAGCTCTGGAATTCCATGAGCCTTTAAACTCATGGATTTGAGTGTCAGTCTGACTCATGGGAGGAAAAGTCTTTGTTTCCACACAGAAACACTCAGAACAAACCACATGTTCTGGAGTCATGTACTCTCTACAGTTTGGTCTCTGTGATGACGAGTCGAGGTGTTTCATCCAGAGCTGGAAACTGCTTCAGTCTGACTGTTTGGTGACAGAAATACGGAAGTATTTATGAAAGTTTTCTTCTTTGAAAACCTAAATATTGAGAGCTTTAATTCATATACATGCACTGAATAAAACAAAATGGCTGACTAGTTATAAACAAACAGCTTTTTGACGTGGACATTACAGTTTTTAATAAATGAAATGTTATTTTTAAACATTTTTCCTGTCATATTATCTGTAATTTGACAAAACCACTAAACTGTTAGAAAATATTCACAATTATTCCAGAATCTTTCTGATTTGACCACAGTAAAAAAAAACTTGTATAATGTTACAGTCAAATGTTAATTAATGAACAAAAATACAGATTTTTGGTGGGACATTATTTAAAGCTTTGGTCTGTTTATTGTATTTGTTTGTTTCTTTTCTTTTCTTTCAACCCTTTTATTGCTATTTTTCATAAAACTGGGAAAATATGTAACAAATCATTTTTTTAAAACCATTTTTCAATCCTTGATTTCTATTTAATATTATTTTAAAAAATGTTTTGGTGTTTTTAAAACAGTTTAAAAAAATAGAAAAAGTAAAAAAGTAAATATCTGTAAAATTATCTATTTTTTGCCGATTTAAAGTTATATTTACAAACTATATTAACAGTTCACATGTAAATGAAAACCCCTTTTATTGTTATTTTACTAGTTCTCTGTATTTCAGCAAAACTGGGAAAATCTAAAATAAACTATATTTTTTTATTTTTATTTCCATAATGGCAAAGAGTTGCGAAATAATGTTTTTTGGTGGTTTAAAAAAAAAAAAAAAA